GTAGCACATTAACATGACAGGAAAAATTAATCTCCAATGGTATCTGAGGGAGGGATACTACAACGGCACCATTTCTTAGTCCTTGCTTTGTTATGGTTTTAAAAACAACTCATTGTTTCTTAGGATTAAGTTTACTCATCACTTCTCTGGATGTGCCAGCCAGTATCACTACGTATAGTGGTAGAAATAAATCATGGCTCCAGACTCGATGCAATGTGCACCTAAACAGAGCAGCCCAAAATTTGGTCTTGTGTCTCTTCTAAATACGCCTGGGAGTAGCCTGAAAGGAAACGTCAGAACATAGTGGGGCACAACAGTAATGAATAAATGAGGCCATTGGAGCTCCTCTTAAGACGGAAGAGCTTTCCCCAGCTGCACATTAATTTTTTTTAATTTTAATTTTAATTTTTTTCAAGGATGTACTTTTAGGTGGTTGCTGCTGTCTAGATTTCACCCATGCAGTGCAATAGGTCAGAAAAAGGCAGTTATGTAATTATGATCACTCGAAAGATATGTCATTACCATCCATAATGTACATGTCATTCAAAATACCTGTATATTTCTTTGTAATGTAGAATTATGGAGTCATAGAGTCAGAGAGATATAGAGCACGGAAACAGACCCTTCGGTCCAACTCATCCCTGCTGATCAGATATCCTAAATAAATCAAATCTCATTTGCCAGCATTCGGCCCATATCCCTCTAAACACTTCCTATTCATACACCCATCTAGATGCCTTTTAAATGTTGTGATTGTACCAGCCTCCACCACTTCCCATAGCAGCTCATTCCATATATGCACCACCGTCTGCACGGAAAAATTTGCTGTCAGGTCCCTTTTAAATCTTTCCCCTCTCCCCTTAAACCTAAGCCCTCTAGTTTTGAACTCCCCCACCCTGGGGAAAAGACCTTGTCTATCTACCCTATCCATGCCCCTCATGATTTTATAAACCTCTATGAGGTCACCCCTCAGCCTCCAATGCTCCAGGGAAAATAGCCTCAGTCCATTCAGCCACTCCCTAGAGCTCAAAACGCTCTGACCCTGGCAACATCCTTGTAAATCTTTTCTCGTTTCCCTTTCTAGTTTCACAACATCTTTGCTATAGCAGGGAGACCAGAACTGCACGAAGTATTCCAATAGTGGCCTAGCCAATGCCGTGTACAGCCACAGCATGACCTCCCAACTCCTATACTCAATGCATTGACCAATAAAGGCAAGCATACCAAACACCTTCTTCACTGTTGTGTCTACCAGGGACTCCACTTTCAAGGAATGACGAGCCTGCATTCTAAGGTCTCTTTGTTCAGCAACACTCCCCAGGACCTTACCATTAAGTGTATATGTTCTACCCTGATTAGCCTTTCCAAAATGCAGCAGCTCACATTTATCTAAATTCAACTCCAACTGCCAATCCTTGGCCCATTGGCCCATCGGCCCATCTGATCAAGATCCCTCTGTACGCTGAGGCAATCTTCTTCGCTGTCCACTACACATCCAATTTTTGTAAGTAGTCAGAGCAGTGTTAATTTTTAGTGCATCAGAAGTAAAGCATCAGCTTAGTGTAAAGGATGCTGTAATGGATCTTGAAGTGGGTGAGCCCACTATGTTGGCTTACAACCAGGTGAGAAGTGGTAATTGGCTCGCCTCTTTTCAGCCTCCTCAGATAGTTGCAACAAAGGTTTATTAGTCTTTTTAGCATCCACCTAAACCACACTTCAATAAAAATGAAATTAACCAGATTATCAGAAACATTACGGAGCCAATTACAAGATTCCCTTGAGTGAAGGAAATGCAAATTTTATTACTTCCTAATATTGAGAAAAGTTAGATGCAACATCAAGCACACATATGCAAACATAAGCATAAATTTAAAAACCAATAACGTCCAAACCAAAAGGGAAGATAAAATCTTTTGGATGTGCTTGGTGTTAACTTGAGACCATGTTTGGTTAATGGTGTCCTGGATCAGTAGCAACTGTAAAGACCCGTTCAAAAAGGATGGTTTTCACCTGTACTGGGAAGGGACTGATATCCTAGCAAGGAGATTTGCTAATTCTGTTAAGGGAGACTGTAAACTATTGTAGGGGGGCAAGGATCCTAAGTAGCAGAGTAAATAGAAAAGGATATTTTTGAATCTGAAAAGAAGAGGTTAGTTGGAAAAGACAGACAAGACCAAGTGAGAAAATAAGATAACTCTGAAGAATTAAACTGCATTTATATCAATGCATGAGGTCTTACAGATAAGGCTGATGAACCCAGGGCATGTTTGGGAACACGTGATTGGGGCGTCATAGCTATTACAGAAACTTGGCTGAGGGTTGAACAGGACTAGCATCTCAATGTTGTGGGTTTCAGATGCTATAGGAAGGATAGAAAGGGAGGCAAAAGAGGATGGGAGGGTGGCGTTTTTGATGAAGGAGATATTACTGCTGTATGTAGAGAAGATATTTCTAAAACATCATCTGAAAATTTATGGGTTGAAATTAGAAATAGTAAAGGAATGATCACCTTGGTGGGCTTGTACTGTAGACCCCCCAATAGTCAGAGAAAAATTGAGGAACAAATATGTAGAGAGATCTCAGATATACGTCAGAAGAATAAGGTTGTAATACTAGGTGATTTTAATTTTCCAAACATTGACTGGGACTACCATAGTGTTAAAGGTTTGGATGGTGAAAATTTGATAAATGTGTTCAAGAATTTTTTTTATCAATGTGTAAATGTTCCTACTAGAGAGGGAGCAAAACTTCTCTTGGGTAATAAGACAAGGCAAGTGACTGAAGTGATAGTCAGGGAACACTTTGGTCTAGTGATCATAATTCTATTTGTTTTAAAATAGTTAAGGAAAAGGATAAGCCTTCAATAAAAGTTAAAGTTTTTAATTTGAGTAAGGCAAATTTCAATGGCATGAGACAAGAATTTTCAAAACTTGATTGGAGTATACTATTCACAGGTAAAAGGGACATCTGATAAGCGGGAGGCTTTCAAAAGTCTGAAAACAAGAGTTTAGAGTCATTATATTCTTGTTAGAATGAAAGGTAAGGCTGGTAGGATTAGAGAACAATGGATGAATAAAGATATTGAGGTTCTAGTCAAGAATAAAACAATCATCTATATGATATAGACAACTGGGTTCAAATGAATCTCTCGAACAGTATAAAAGAGTGTAGGGGTATTCTTAAGAGGGAGATTAGGAAGGCAAAGAGGTGATATAAGATAGCCTTGGCAGATAAGGTTAAAGATAATCCAAAAAGATTCTACATGTACATTAATAGCAAGAGAGCAACTAGAGAGAGAGTAGGACTCCTTAAAGTTCAACGAAGTCGTCTTTGTGTTGAACCTCAGAAGATGAGAGAGATATTAAATGAATATTTTGTGTCAGTTTTTACTGTGGAAAAAGAAATGGAGATTAGGGAAGTCAGGGAAATATATATTGATGTTTTGAAAACAGGTTACATTACAGAAGAGGAAGTGCTGGAGGTCTTGGAAAATATAAAAGTAGATAAATCTCCAGGACCTAATCTAGTCTATTACAGGATGTTGTGGGAAGTTAGGAAGGAAATTGCAGGGCCCTTGCAGAAATGTTTGTGTCATCTATAACTACGAGTGAGGTGCCGGATAACTGGAGAGTGGCTATTGTCGTGCCGTTGTTTAAGAAGGAATGTAAGATGAAGCCTGGGAAATATAAACCTGTGAGTTTGACTTCGGTGGTGGGAAGGTTAAAATCAGCATGGTTTTATGTGAGGGAAATTGTGTCTCACAAATTTGTTTGAGTTTTTTTTGAGGAAGTAACCAAGAAGATTGATGAGGGCAGAGGGATAGGCATTGTTTACTTGGACTTTAATAAAGCCTTTGACAAGGTTCAGCATGGTAGACTAATTACTGAAGTTAGATCACATGGAATTCAGAGTGTGCTTGCCAATTGGATACACAATTGGCTAACAGCAGGAAATAGAGAGTGCTGAGGGAGCGATATTCTTCAGATTGGAGGCCTGTTACCAGTAGTGTTCCACAGGAATTGGTACTGGGTCTGCTTTTGTTTGTCATTTATATAAATGATTTAGATGAGAATATAGAAGGCATGGTTAGTAAGTTTGCAAATGAAAACAAAATTGGTGATATGGTGGACCATGAAGAAGTAAGATTACAAAGAGATCTTGATCAATTAGGTCAATGGGCTGAGGAGTGGCAGATGGAGTTTAATATTGACAAATGTGAGGTATTGCATTTTGGTAAAACAAACAAGGGCAGAACTTGTACAATTAAAAGTAGGGCCTTCGGTAATGTTGTAGAGCAGAAAGGCCTAGAGGTTCAGGTACATAATTCTTTGAAGTTTGCGTCAAACAGAATGATTAAGAGGCATTTAGCACGCTTGCTTTCACTGCTCACACCTTTTGAATATTTGAGTTGGGATGCTATGTTGAGGTAGTACATGATGTTGGTGAGGCCTCTTCTGGAGTACTATATGCAGTTCTGGTCACCCTGCTATAGGAAGGATATTATTAAGCTGGAAAAGATTCAGAAGAGATTTCCTACGATGTTGCTGAGAATGGGGGTTTTGAGTTATAAGGAGATGCTGGATAGGCTGAGAGTTTTTTTCACTGATGTGTAGGAGGTTGAGGGGTGGCCTTAAAGAGATTTATAAAATTATGAGGGATTTAGATAAGGTAAATGGCAGATGTCTTTTCCCCAAGATGAGGGATTTCAAGACAAGGGGACATATTTTTAAGGTGAGAGGAGAAAGATTTAAAAAAGGCATGAGGAGCAATATTTTTAAACCAAGAGTGGCTCACGTGTGTAATGAACTGTTTAAAAGACATTTAGATAAGTACACGAATAAGAAATGTTTGGAGGGATATGGGACAAGTGCAGCCAGGTGGGACTAGCCAATGCCCAAATATATTAGTTCACTTCCTGGCTCGCGTCCTCACCACTCCCGCTGCTGAAAGCAAGAAGGCAGCTGCTGCACGAGACAAGTTTTTAAAGGGAAAAAGCTTACCTTCCCGACAGCACCCTGGCTCGCGTCCTCGCCATTCCCGCTGCTGAAAGCAAGAAGAGGGTATGGGTGGAGGTTAGATAGATCTTAGGTTTAGGGTAAAGTTCGGCACAACATCGTGGGCCGAAGGGTCTGTACTGTGCTGTACTGTTCTATGTTCTATTTCAGTAACTGTCCAAATTAGTTCCTTCACTTTAAGTCCTATATACCGGCACAAACTGACTAAAAATATTTGCAATAATCCAACTATTTGCTAAAGGTAACTGTTCTTCTAATATTTGTGTCTCAGTAGATATGGAAAGAATCCCATTGCAGGGCTTTTCCTGGAAAAAACCAGAACGTTCACCTAGCCTCAACTTCACATTCTGATAAACATCATTATTGAACTATCCATTCAGAGAAGTGCAATTTGTGAGATTGAGGGTAGTGCACTGAGGATACAACAAGTATATGTAAACAGGAACAAATTGAGGAAGAAGACACAGCATCAGAACAGAGGATGAAATTAGCTTCACTTATGGCTACAAAGACTAGACATCCTAATCTTCGGAGTTCAGTTTGGAAAAGAAGATTCTTAGATTAATAGAGGCTGTTAGACTCAGTGAAACATGTTTCAAGGACTCACAGGCACATTCAATCTCTGCATTCAAATATATGTGTGCTCAGTCATAGTAGAAAAAACACAGGACGAAATTATTTGGAGAAAAATGAAGTTCTGTTGTTAGGTTAAAAGCAGGAGCCAACCCTTTTCTGGTGGGTTGAATTTTGTCAGCAACGGCTAATTAAGAGGAAGGGCACACCCCATCATTCAGTGGAGAAAGAGATGGAAATGAAAAAAACAAGAAGGCTGTGTTATAAAAGAGACATCATTGCATCTTCTGATGCTCACCACCATCAGCACAGATACTGGCACTGTGGATTCTGTAATGGATTGTTTGGAGGTGGGATCTGCATGTTGTGAGACATTGGGCCCAAGTGGGCTGTAACCAGGGACAGGACAAGGATAGCTTGCCATTGGGTAAGGCTGCCCATGTGTCCTGCAACAGATGGCATAGATAAAGATGGACACTGATGGGATGCATACAAAAGAAGGGAATAATATATGTAATGCTTGGGCATTGCCAGATACTCATGCAAGGTCAGTTTACTACTGTGAAGGTTCAGACTGCTGTTATTGTAACTTCAGGTCTTCAAAGGGTTTCACAGACTGCCACAGCCACTGCAACCTGTTCTCTCAGAGATTGCTAAGATTGGTAAGGCATCACTGATGGAACATGAACCTGGGGTCCAATCTAGGTAAAACAGCATGTACGCTCTCACCCTGCCACTCCACTTGTGACTTTGCCTTAGCCACAAACTGCTGCTGCTAAAATGGAGACCAGAAACAGGCCTTCTAACACCAGAACTGCTCAGATTATCCTGAAAAGGGACCTGTATTCTTCACCACTGAGAGTCAGCAGGTTTCAAGCCTTCCTATGCCCATTAAGGTGGCACTGTGTAGGACCTCCGAGACAGGAGGGAATACACAAGGATGATTCATGGCATCTGTATGTAATATGACAAAGTTTTGTTTACAAATTTGGTTTGGAATGCTTATTTTATGGTGGTTTTGATTTTAACATGTTCCTGTGAGATGGTTGTTATGGTCAGTAGTAGAGGGTGGCTAAGCTAAATGGAAATTTTAGAACAAAAACATGAAATACTGGAAATACTCAGCAAGCCTGGCAGCTTCTGTGGAGAGAGAAAAACAGAGTCCACATTTCAGGTCAATGACCTGCCCTAACATCTGAGGACTTCACTGGTACCAGGTTCACTTGAGACAGATTGGTCAGACCAGAAAAGGATAATGTAGAACAACCACAAAATAGCACAGGGATGCTGGAAATCAAGAACAATAAAGACTGGAAATACTCAGCATGTCAGGCAGCATCTGTGGAAATAGTTAATATTTCAGAATGAAAAAGAATGTTTCAAGTTGATGACTTGGCATCAGAACACGAGAAAGTAGAGATTTAAGATCTTTTAGTGGAACGGAGGAGGGGGAGGAGGATCAAGGATCAGGTGATAGCTGGAGGCAATGGAAAATTAACCGTGGCACGGTAACTCAGTGGTTAGCCCTGTTTCCTCACAGTGCCAGGGACCCAAGTTTGATTCCAGCCTCGGGCGACTGTCTGTGTGGAGTTGGCACATTCTCCCCATGACTGCATGGGTTTCCTCCGTTGCTTTGGTTTTCTCCCATATTCAAAGATGTGCAGATTAGGTGGATTGGCTATTCAAAATTGCCCAATGTCCAGGGATGTGCAGGCCAGGTGGATTATGCCATGGGAAATGCAGAGTTACAGGGACAGGGTAGAGGGGTGCATCTGGGTGGGATGCTCTTCAGAAGGTCAGTGTGGACTTGATGGGCCAAATGGCCTGCTTCCACACAATAGGGATTATATGACAACAATTCAGGATGCAACAGCAAAAGAAACAGGCCAAAGATCAACCTAGCAAAGCAGAGGAAAATAAAGGAAGAAGGAAAGGTGCAAAGAACAAGTTGGAAGCAGAAGTTGTGATCTAAGATTGTTGAACACGATGTTTAGTCTAGAAAGCTGAGTCAAAGGGTAATGTGCCAGTCCTTGTGCTTCACTGGAACACGGACAGAAAGGTCAGCATCAACATTGCTTCTAAGTTGCATTGTTGTGCTCATGTTCTGCGCAATGCAATTGGCTTTGACATGATGATTGCAGCATTCTCTTCTGGTTCCAGAAGTCTCAGCCACATAGAGGCCTCAGAAGCCTGCACAACCAATAAGAAAATTAGAGGGGAGGTTACAATGCCAAAAAAGGGGGAGCTTGGGGTCATGCAGAGAGAATGGAACTGTTCAGCAATGTAGTCACCTGGCCTGTGTTTTAGTGTCCCCAGTATAGTACAGAAGCATAAGTAAATTAGGGTTTCACCTGGAAGGAGTGTTTGGGGCTGAGTAGGTTTCTTCCTCTTCTTTACCATTGTTTGTGTTGCTGGTGTTAAAGGCAGGTTCCTCATGCAGCAAGGCTTGCAGATATAGCAGTGTACGACAAATTTCGATAAGCTTTGTCATGTATATTCCCTACTCCTCAGGGCAGTTCAACATTGGTTATAAGCCCATGGATGGTCTCTTCTAACACATCTTTTTGTTACAATATAGTTTTTGTTAGACTAATGTTGCCCAAATGTAAACAGGTTGTACATCTTTGCCATGAACCACGTGGTCAGTGGATATCTTTTTTTAATTCATTAATTGTGTGTAAAACACAGTGTTCATCGGCCATGCCTAATTGCCTTTTAAGGTATGGCCTTGCCTTCTTAAACTGCTCAGTCTATGTAGTGAAATTACTCCCAGTTTGCCTCTTTTGTAGTGGTTTGGTGAAAATAATAGACTTTCTGAACTATTTCAGAAGGGAATGAAAAATCAATGGGTGATCGCATATAGGTTAGACCAGGTAGGGACACCAGATTTCCTTCCCTAAAAGTCATTAGAGTATTATAATCATTGCATAGTTGCATGGTCACTGTCTTTTACTCCAGATTTTACTTTATTTGATTTACTGATTTTTAAAAAAATTTCGCAGCTGCCATAATTTCAGTTGAACACTTGGCTCCAGCTCACGGCTATTCATAACCACAATGCTATCACACCCCCTTGCCACCCAGCTACCACTCTGCGTTGTCATGGTCTCTGAATTACAGATGGTACAGCAAACTGCCACAAAACAAAGCCATCATATCTGCTGTGAGGTGGCAGGGCTCCTTGCTGTTCAATTAGCTATGTGTAGTCATTACCAGCTAGTAATTGAGACAATCAAATCCCTTCGAATTGACAGGCAGCATTCTCACAACAATAGCAAATGCTGTCAGTGCAATCCTCACTTTGTTTACTTATCTCTGACAACAGAGAATTAATTGTATACAAATTTATTACAAAACAGAATATCATTGATCGCCTTTATTCAACAATGATCAGTGAGCTAAAGATATATTGCAGGTATCCTGCATTATAGCCCGGCAAGAACCAGGCATGATGCATAAATCTTTATGGCTACATTAACCTTCACAGCCACTGGCAATGAACTGCTGCAGTGTGGCTGCAACAGGTGGCAGGTTTACTTCCTAAGCGAAGAAAGGCATTTGACATCCTGTTTCTCATTGAGCTTCACATTGGCTAATTGTTTCCTAATCACCCTGGATGGATATGGCCTTGTGCTGAGACCCCTAATCACCTTGCTCACCACCCCCCCCACTCCTTTTTTCAGCGGCTTGTTGCGCTGTGTACTGCCTTTTTTCATTATTGTTGTTATGCTAAAGGCATGCTAAAGAAATGCAAACTATGGCACCCATGTCTGGGAGATTGTGGCCTATGCAAAATCCTTGAAATCAGGACACAATCCTTTAGAATGTCCCATTAATTCCTGTAAACTTCCACCAAAAACAAGAGCCAGTAGAACTTAATCAGCAACTAACAGGAAAATAGTTTATGATTCTATTTAAATAACACTGGCGGCAGTCTTTCTGCTTCAGAGGTTAAGAGAATGCGTTAGCTAGACTGTTGAGTTCCAAAATTACAGTGCTCCTTCAAATCAGTATTATATGCTGGTTGTTGTCATTACCTACCTATTCTGCTTACTTCTGATGGACACTCCCCATCCTCATTAATATGGAGGCAAAGTGATATTAATGTGTGGTAAGGTGGCACCTATTGTACTAAACAAAAGAAACTGAGCATCTGGATTTTGTGGTCCCTCTCTTGCATTCAGGTTAGTAATAAAAGAATCTATTAAAAGTGTCCTATACAGCAGCAATGGCTTCTACAAATCCAGCACTAATTTCTTATTCTAGACAGGTATCAGTGCAGTGGTGACATGTTGTTATATATTTGAGGTGAGAAAATAACTCTCTACAAGTTAAAGTCTGAAAATTGAGGCTTTTCCTAACACGTTTCTTAATAGTGTCACGCTTTGCTTTGGCTCATCAATGTGCCAGTTGTTGCATAAACTGTGTTGTGTTAGCTGGCATCTGCGGCTGACTGAATCTCAAAGACAAAAAGTCCGTCTGGGGAAGTCAATGAGAACAAGATCGCCATCTCTCTGCAGTATGATTTGTGTTGAGAGGGGTGTTACTAATTCCATTGTAGATTACATCATTTATCATTACTGGAAGAGCCTATAGTGACGCAGTTCTACATTAGAAGGTATGAAGGTATTTGTATGAATTTTAAAAATCATATTAATTCTCAGAATTCATTTTTCCAATATAGCTCTGCTTCTATCAATTTAAGGTTAAAAAATGAGATATTCTTTTTGGGTATGCAAGGTTAATTTGAAAGTATTTCTATTAATAGTTTACATTGTTTTCAGCGAATCCGTGCGTAAAGTATCTACAATTCTTAATGTAAAACCCTTTACAGTCCAAAATGTTCCTTGCACATTGATTACAGTTTAGAACAGGCAGATCACATCTAGTTTCCATATTTATGCTTTCTCATGTTTTGCTTCGATTTCCTATCTTTCAATATGTACACAATTGAATTTTCTTAACATTAAGTCCAGTGAGAGTCTGGTGAATTCTCAAGTGCAATACTGTTCATTTTCACAATTAATTTAAGAAAGGGCAAATTCATGAGATGAATGACAGTTTTGAAATAACATTCAAGTCATAACTTCAGTTTAGAAAAACACTTTAAAAACTAGGGGCTGCAATTTTACGGAAGCAGGGTCAAAAGTTGGCTCTGCTTCAGCAGACAATGGGATCGCAGTGCCACATTTTGCCTGTTTCACCAAATAATTGGCTGCCAACACAGCTGTCCATCCTATTAAGGACAATGGCCTGCCCCCAGCAGTTTTTCTTCCCAGTCACAGGGCCGACCACTCAGCAGCCTCAGCAGCCCTGCCTCTCGATGTGTCTGTTACCAGAGTTGCACCTGAAGGATGGGTGCACATCATGTGCCTTGCACCCCTTGAGGACAACTAAGCAAGGTTAGGGGTCTACTAGGGCCAGGGAGGTAGGCCCTGTCAAAGGTTGGGGTTTAAATTGAATCAGAGATAGTAGGAACTGCAGATGCTGGAGAATCCGAGACAACAAGGTGCAGGGCTGGATGAACACAGCAGGCCAAGCAGCATC